TTTTTTAATGAATGAAAAGATGACACATATACATACTTCATTAAATATTATTAATTATGAATTATTATTTTTTAAATAGGGAGTTCATTCTCTATTTCAAAATTTTATCAAATACATTTTTTCTATAAAATATTTTAGGGAAAAATTTTAATTTGTATCCTCAAAGATTTAAATTTTTTACTTTGCACCCTGAAAAAGATTAAATTGCAGGTATAAGAAATATAAGGTAACAAAAGTGACACAATATAACACTTTTAATAACACTTTTAATAAATTGATAGTGTAATGTAATAAATCTAATATTTAAGAATGCAAAATAAAAATTCTGAAAATTTTTAATGTATAAAGTGCAATTCACTAAATGTTATTTATTTTAATTCTAATCTCGGCCCAAGTTTTTTGTGAGGGTCGATTTAGATATTTTTCACGATATGTTTGATCACTTTTACCCTATGAAGCACGGATACGGATACGATATGATACGGGTACGGGGATACGACAAAACCAAAAAAATAGGATACGGGTACGGCTAGGATACGTCCATAAAATATATATTTTTTAAAATTTTATTATTATATTTAATGTAATAATTATAATTTATAAAGTAAATCACACTTCTATCAAAAATATATAATAATAACTAACCATCAGAGTCAGTCGATCATCAATGTGAGTGAGTGAGAGAGAGAGAGAGAGACGATCGTCGTCGAGTATTGACTGAAGGGAGTGGGGGGCTTGACGGGCTATGGAAGAAAAGTGTACAGGTTTTAGTCTTTTTAACTTTTAGTTTAATAATATATTTTTTTTTTTGCAAATAAGAGCTTAAATATATTGCTCTTGTGCCCTTATACTTTTTTAAAATTCGAGTAATACCCCGTTGTATCCTTATGCGTATCCTAGGCGTATCCCACGCGTATCCAAAACGTATTTGGTCATATCCGAAAACTATTTTTTTTTTTTAATTTTAGGATACTTCTCAAACGTATCCGGTACGTATCCAACGCATATCCGTATCCAAAAGTATCCAATACAGATACTTTGACCCTTTTAAAGTATCCGTGCTTCATAGCTTTTACCTATTAATAGATCAAATATGANCATCGAGTCTTACTGTCTGAGTTAAGTTGCGTAAGAGCATCTCCAATAAACTCTTTATTCTCACTCAATTTTTTATTTTAGATAGTCAACCACCCAAAAAAAAGTTTCATAAGCTCTTTTTTTAGACTAATTAAAATAGATGGTCTTATTTAGTTCTCTATATCTGGAGAGTCTAACTCACTCTCTATTCTATTTTTTAATGAATGAAAAGATGACACATATACATACTTCATTAAATATTATTAATTATGAATTATTATTTTTTAAATAGGGAGTTCATTCTCTATTTCAAAATTTTATCAAATACATTTTTTCTATAAAATATTTTAGGGAAAAATTTTAATTTGTATCCTCAAAAATTTAAATTTTTTCACTTTGCACCCTGAAAAAGATTAAATTGCAGGTATAAGAAATATAAGGTAACAAAAGTGACACAATATAACACTTTTAATAAATTGAGNATTTTTTCACTTTGCACCCTGAAAAAGATTAAATTGCAGGTATAAGAAATATAAGGTAACAAAAGTGACACAAAATAACACTTTTAATAAATTGAGAGTGTAATGTAATAAATCTAATATTTAAGAATGCAAAATAAAAATTCTGAAAATTTTTAATGTATAAAGTGCAATTCACTAAATGTTATTTATTTTAATTCTAATCTCGGCCCAAGTTTTTTGTGAGGGACGATTTAGATATTTTTCACGATATGTTTGATCACTTTTACCCTATGAAAGCACGGATACGAATATGAGATACGGATACGATATGATACGGGTACAGAGATACTACAAAACCAAAAAAATAGGATACGGGTACGGTTAGGATACGTCCATAAAATATATATTTTTTAAAATTTTATTATTATATTTAATGTAATAATTATAATTTATAAAGTAAATCACACTTCTATCAAAGATATATAATAATAACTAACCATCAGAGTCAGTCGATCATCAATGTGAGTGAGTGAGAGAGAGAGAGAGAGACGATCGTCGTCGAGTATCGACTGAAGGGAGTGGGAGGCTTGACGGGCTATGGAAGAAAAGTGTACAGGTTTTAGTCTTTTTAACTTTTAGTTTAATAATATATTTTTTTTTTTGCAAATAAGAGCTTAAATATATTGCTCTTGTGCCCTTATACTTTTTTAAAATTCGAGTAATACCCCGTTGTATCCTTATGCGTATCCTAGGCGTATCCCACGCGTATCCAAAACGTATTTGGTCATATCCGAAAACTATTTTTTTTTTTTAATTTTAGGATACTTCTCAAACGTATCCGGTACGTATCCAACGCATATCCGTATCCAAAAGTATCCAATACAGATACTTTGACCCTTTTAAAGTATCCGTGCTTCATAGCTTTTACCTATTAATAGATCAAATATGATGTATAATTGAAGGACCCCACTTATAAATAGTAAATTTCACTTAAATTTATGATGTAAGATTAACTTATTAATTGAAATTAAAAAAAAACATAACAAAAAATATCTCAATTCATCCCGATTGACCCATGGCGACACACATTCTCATTTAACTTAAAGTCGAATCTTCTTCAATACTTTTTTTTTTTTATCTTGATAAATCACCCATCATAAACACAATTTTTTATTATATATAAATTAACTCCTCACTAATATATAATAAATAATTATAAAAAATATATATTAGAGCAGATCTCGTTCAAGTTCCTTAGAGAATCCGTCCAAATACTCTTTCCAAATTTCCATTAATAAAGATTCTCCCCGGTGCAGATGGTGATAGAAAATCCAAAAAACCTTTTTCATAATAATTGATTTTCTGAACGTGTTGACCGTTTGACTGCTAATTCACCGAGGTAATGTTCAGGTCCTACTGTCCAAACCAAACACAAGCCAGAATCCAAAACCGCAGTTAACTTCTCTCAAAGAAAACCCAGTTCACAGGTCAAACAATACTTTGTTCTCCGCCCGCCGGCTGTGTTCTGCAAGGGATTCTACACAGTTCTAGAGAGAGAAACCGATATATAAAGAGAGAGAAAGAGAGGGTTTTTTCTTCTTCTTCTTTCATTTATGTGTATATGCAGGAATACAGATAAATTGGTGGGTTGATTTGGTGGTTTTGGTTGCGGATTGGTGGGGATGGACAAAGTATTCAATAAGCTGAGGAATTTGGACGCATACCCAAAAATCAATGAAGATTTCTTTAGCCGTACACTGTCTGGTGGTGTTATCACCCTCGTCTCCTCCATCGTTATGCTCTTGCTCTTCTTCTCCGAGCTCAGTATGTCTTTTTTCTTAATCTGTCTTTAAAACCCTTCTTTTTTTTTAAGTTTGAATTTTTTTTCTGCTTGCATAGGGTTTAATCAACAAATATTTTAGGTGATACTGCAAATCTTTATTGATGTGATCTCTCTCTCTCTCTGTGGATATTATACCATGTTGAATTTATAATATTGGTTTTCTTTATTGGGTTTTACATAATTTAACAGCTGTGAAAATTTTCCGTAAGGCATGCCCTTTTAGCAAGCAATTAATTTTCTAACTTCATAGTTATAAATATGTTTCTTCAATAAGTCTGTGTTCTGGACTACTTGTTCTATATAAAACGACTTTGAGAGGTATTAAAATTGAGGTATTAAAAAAGAGAGTACTGACCAAGAAGTTGCAGGAGATAGACAATGAGAGATGCACAGTTTGATAATTTTATATTGAGTGCAGCAACCAAAACCTTTTTTGAAGACAAATAGGGAGATGTATTTACAATTATCCCAAAGGGAAAAGAATTGATATGCTTTACCCAGATGATTTTTTTTTGATGAAATACTATTTTAAGACCATGGTTTGGAATGATTAGTGATTGCCTCTTATATTTGGAACAGGCATTCTCGTTTGTGCCGGAATGCAACATCTAGATCCTGTTAATAAATACAGGAGGTTAAGTTTGGGAAAGGAAAAACAAAACCTAGTTGCTAAAATTAAGTGAATTTTTCTTTTCGTTTGCTACTGATTTCCACCTGATGAGAATTTTGCCTCTAGTGAAAGGCGGAGGCTATTTACAGGCGGTGTCAGTCAAACACGTAATACTATGAATGGTTTAGAATAGAAGGGTCAGTTTTTGTGCCTTTGTGAAGTAGAAGCGTGACAATCAAGTATCACATGGCGGGCCTAGTGTCAGGATTGCAATATCTAGTGTTGGGTATAAGCTATTAATTACTATGAACACACCTGGATGGTTTTGGTGGGGAGTGAGTATGATCTTGGTATAAAACATACTTGGAATATAATGATCTGAAATGTTAAATTAAATAGGATGCATGTGATATTGATCAAGTTTATTCTAAGTTCAGTTCAAAATAAGAGAACTTCATGGTGAAAGATTTCTCTTTCAGTCAAGACTTATTGGCGTTTTGTTTCCACCTTTGTATGAGTGGTAGGACTTGAACTAGCGAGGCCATTGGTGCCGTGGTTAAATTTGGCTAAATAAGTTGAGGTTGTGGTTCAAACTTGAGAGCAATCACTTTGTGCAAATAATGCTAAAGGGTATACCTATTCCTCATAGACCTTATTAATGAGGACTAAACTGTATTTTTTTTAACACCAAATGAAAGCCTGAATTAATAAATGATCTGACTTCAGTGGATTCTTTAATACTGCCAAATTGGTGTCATTGTTGACCAATTAGGCAAGACGATGGTTGAGATGATAATTCCCCTTCTGTTCTGAAAATGTTCATGAACAAAAGAAGCATTAATCAAGACTACACAATCATGTCTCTTGGCTAACCAACCCAAAAAGTTTCTTTCGAGGAAAAAAAGAGGGTTAATCTCATTTTGCACCCCGAAAGATCGTTCGAATCTCAATTTACACCCCCAAAGATAAAAAATCTCAATTTTCATTCNTTGGTTGCGGATTGGTGGGGATGGACAAAGTATTCAATAAGCTGAGGAATTTGGACGCATACCCAAAAATCAATGAAGATTTCTTTAGCCGTACACTGTCTGGTGGTGTTATCACCCTCGTCTCCTCCATCGTTATGCTCTTGCTCTTCTTCTCCGAGCTCAGTATGTCTTTTTTCTTAATCTGTCTTTAAAACCCTTCTTTTTTTTTTAAGTTTGAATTTTTTTTCTGCTTGCATAGGGTTTAATCAACAAATATTTTAGGTGATACTGCAAATCTATATTGATGTGATCTCTCTCTCTCTCTCNTGAGTGAGAGAGAGAGAGAGAGACGATCGTCGTCGAGTATCGACTGAAGGGAGTGGGAGGCTTGACGGGCTATGGAAGAAAAGTGTACAGGTTTTAGTCTTTTTAACTTTTAGTTTAATAATATATTTTTTTTTTTGCAAATAAGAGCTTAAATATATTGCTCTTGTGCCCTTATACTTTTTTAAAATTCGAGTAATACCCCGTTGTATCCTTATGCGTATCCTAGGCGTATCCCACGCGTATCCAAAACGTATTTGATCATATCCGAAAATTAATTTTTTTTTTTAATTTTAGGATACTTCTCAGACGTATCCGGTACGTATCCAACGCGTATCCGTATCCAAAAATATCCAATACAGATACTTTGACCCTTTTGAAGTATCCGTGCTTCATAGCTTTTACCGATTAATAGATCAAATATGGTGTATAATTGAAGGACCCCACTTATAAATAGTAAATTTCACTTAAATTTATGATGTAAGATTAACTTATTAATTGAAATTAAAAAAAAACATAACAAAAAATATCTCAATTCATCCCGATTGACCCATGGCGACACACATTCTCATTTAACTTAAAGTCGAATCTTCTTCAATACTTTTTTTTTTTTATCTTGATAAATCACCCATCATAAACACAATTTTTTATTATATATAAATTAACTCCTCACTAATATATAATAAATAATTATAAAAAATATATATTAGAGCAGATCTCGTTCAAGTTCCTTAGAGAATCCGTCCAAATACTCTTTCCAAATTTCCATTAATAAAGATTCTCCCCGGTGCAGATGGTGATAGAAAATCCAAAAAACCTTTTTCATAATAATTGATTTTCTGAACGTGTTGACCGTTTGACTGCTAATTCACCGAGGTAATGTTCAGGTCCTACTGTCCAAACCAAACACAAGCCAGAATCCAAAACCGCAGTTAACTTCTCTCAAAGAAAACCCAGTTCACAGGTCAAACAATACTTTGTTCTCCGCCCGCCGGCTGTGTTCTGCAAGGGATTCTACACAGTTCTAGAGAGAGAAACCGATATATAAAGAGAGAGAAAGAGAGGGTTTTTTCTTCTTCTTCTTTCATTTATGTGTATATGCAGGAATACAGATAAATTGGTGGGTTGATTTGGTGGTTTTGGTTGCGGATTGGTGGGGATGGACAAAGTATTCAATAAGCTGAGGAATTTGGACGCATACCCAAAAATCAATGAAGATTTCTTTAGCCGTACACTGTCTGGTGGTGTTATCACCCTCGTCTCCTCCATCGTTATGCTCTTGCTCTTCTTCTCCGAGCTCAGTATGTCTTTTTTCTTAATCTGTCTTTAAAACCCTTCTTTTTTTTTAAGTTTGAATTTTTTTTCTGCTTGCATAGGGTTTAATCAACAAATATTTTAGGTGATACTGCAAATCTTTATTGATGTGATCTCTCTCTCTCTCTGTGGATATTATACCATGTTGAATTTATAATATTGGTTTTCTTTATTGGGTTTTACATAATTTAACAGCTGTGAAAATTTTCCGTAAGGCATGCCCTTTTAGCAAGCAATTAATTTTCTAACTTCATAGTTATAAATATGTTTCTTCAATAAGTCTGTGTTCTGGACTACTTGTTCTATATAAAACGACTTTGAGAGGTATTAAAATTGAGGTATTAAAAAAGAGAGTACTGACCAAGAAGTTGCAGGAGATAGACAATGAGAGATGCACAGTTTGATAATTTTATATTGAGTGCAGCAACCAAAACCTTTTTTGAAGACAAATAGGGAGATGTATTTACAATTATCCCAAAGGGAAAAGAATTGATATGCTTTACCCAGATGATTTTTTTTTGATGAAATACTATTTTAAGACCATGGTTTGGAATGATTAGTGATTGCCTCTTATATTTGGAACAGGCATTCTCGTTTGTGCCGGAATGCAACATCTAGATCCTGTTAATAAATACAGGAGGTTAAGTTTGGGAAAGGAAAAACAAAACCTAGTTGCTAAAATTAAGTGAATTTTTCTTTTCGTTTGCTACTGATTTCCACCTGATGAGAATTTTGCCTCTAGTGAAAGGCGGAGGCTATTTACAGGCGGTGTCAGTCAAACACGTAATACTATGAATGGTTTAGAATAGAAGGGTCAGTTTTTGTGCCTTTGTGAAGTAGAAGCGTGACAATCAAGTATCACATGGCGGGCCTAGTGTCAGGATTGCAATATCTAGTGTTGGGTATAAGCTATTAATTACTATGAACACACCTGGATGGTTTTGGTGGGGAGTGAGTATGATCTTGGTATAAAACATACTTGGAATATAATGATCTGAAATGTTAAATTAAATAGGATGCATGTGATATTGATCAAGTTTATTCTAAGTTCAGTTCAAAATAAGAGAACTTCATGGTGAAAGATTTCTCTTTCAGTCAAGACTTATTGGCGTTTTGTTTCCACCTTTGTATGAGTGGTAGGACTTGAACTAGCGAGGCCATTGGTGCCGTGGTTAAATTTGGCTAAATAAGTTGAGGTTGTGGTTCAAACTTGAGAGCAATCACTTTGTGCAAATAATGCTAAAGGGTATACCTATTCCTCATAGACCTTATTAATGAGGACTAAACTGTATTTTTTTTAACACCAAATGAAAGCCTGAATTAATAAATGATCTGACTTCAGTGGATTCTTTAATACTGCCAAATTGGTGTCATTGTTGACCAATTAGGCAAGACGATGGTTGAGATGATAATTCCCCTTCTGTTCTGAAAATGTTCATGAACAAAAGAAGCATTAATCAAGACTACACAATCATGTCTCTTGGCTAACCAACCCAAAAAGTTTCTTTCGAGGAAAAAAAGAGGGTTAATCTCATTTTGCACCCCGAAAGATCGTTCGAATCTCAATTTACACCCCCAAAGATAAAAAATCTCAATTTTCATTCTCAAAGATAGAAATTTGTATCAATGTATACCCCGAAAGATAAAAAATCTCAATTTGCACCCTCAAAGATAGAAATCTGTATCAATGTGCACCTAAAACTAAATTGATAAATTATACCTAGATCCCCTCATGTTTGTCACTTAATCATTTGAACCCCTTCATATTTAGAATATTACCCCTACATCTCATGACGTTTGTATATGTGTAAACATAACTACTTTTCGTTGATATCTATTAATATAATCGTTAAAAAATATGATTTTATCCTAATAAAAAATTATAATTTCATATTACCCTTTATTTTGTGGATTCGATATACTCTAAAGTTCAAAATCAAGTTTACCATTTGAATGTCTAATAAAATGTAGATATTTATATAAAGGAAAATATGAAAAACATTATATAAATATCTACATTTTATTAGGCATTCAAACGGTAAGCTTAATTTTGAACTTTAGAGTATATTGGACCCATAAAATAAAGGTAATATGAAATTATAATTTTTTATTAGGATAAAATTATATTTTTTAACGGTTATATTAACAGATATTAATGAAAATGGGTTACATGTTGTACGTGCATAAATGTCATGAGATGTAAGAGTAATATTCTAAATGTAAAGAGGTCCAAATGATTAAGTGACAAACATGAGGGGATCTAGGTATAAATTATTAATTTAGTTTTAGGTGCATAATGATACAAATTTCTATATTTGAGAATGCAAATTGAGATTTTTTATCTTTGGGGTGCACATTGATATAAATTTCTATCTTTGAGGGTGCAAATTGAGATTTTTGATATTTGGGGTGCAAATTGAGATTCGAACGATCTTTCGGGGTGTAAAATGAGATTAACCCCCAAAAAAAAAAAGCTCAGACTTGAAGGCATTGCGACCATATAAATTTTCCTGTGGAATCAGTGCTAATAAAAGTGAATGATTGGTGACTGACATCTTCATCTTCAGATGAAGATGTAAGTATGTGCTCTGAGAATTGAGATATAAAAGACCCTAAACGGTTGGAGGATGCTGCCATAGCAGATGCAAAATCCTGTGTGGTAGCTGAAGACTGACCAGTAGTTGCCACTTGCCAGCTGCAGCAAAAAACTTAATGGTGGCCTGGCAAAATGGAGTTAAATTTCTCGATGACTGCACCTCTACTTGGCGAATATTTGGTGGCTATCCTTTTCAAGTTGTAGCACACATCCTGGATGGAAAATTAATACTTCACATCGGGCACCCACTCAGTGTTGAATAAAAAACAAAGTCGAGAGTAAAATTCCCAATCTACTATGTATAGTGATTGCAGTCTCTACAAACAACTCCATCTCTTGGGATTATGGAGAATTATTAATTTTATGTTGGGCTGTAAGTGAGTTTTAGACAATATCTTGAAATTTGAATGTCAAAGCATGAACCTTCTTGGAAGATGGGTGGTTCCAAGATGACTTCACCTACAAGTTTCATGTCCAAGTTGATGGAGTACAAAGTAATAAAGCTGGTTAACACTTCATCACATACGCAGATCCCAGAGGCAATGAGTTTGTGGCACTAGTGCCACTAGTTGTGGAAACTAAGTGGGTAACCATGGCGTAGACAAGGAAATAATGTTAATTAGCTGCTACTGGGCTTGTGACAGTTATGCTGGGTTGCAATGGCTTTGATATTATGTTGCCAACAACACAAATTTGCAAATGGAGTGTTAATTTATATTATTAGTGACTTAACTATAAAAATTTCAATGCATCGTTAGTCAAAGCAGAACCCACATCAATGTATTGAGCACATATACTGCACCGATGGTAGACTACGTATAGAGGTACTAGTGTGCTAATATAATTACTTTGCAAGCATGTTCTGTCGGTTAATTTCCGTAGGTGGTGGTAATGCTATTTCTTCTGCAGTTCCATACAAATTCTGGTTTCTATTAGTTCGTGTGTCTACTGATAGGAATTATCTCCATCTTTAAGTGCCCTTAATCAAGCCATTTTAGCCACCAAAGGTGGGTGCATCATTGGTAACAATATCTGACAGACTACAACTGTTTCCCATGTTTCACTTTAGCCTGTGTTACTGAAGTTACCTCTAGTTGATGATCAGTTAAGTTCATATGAGAATTAATATGTGTGTTTAATAAACCTACAATGAAAAAAAGCCTACATTGCATTATGCATTTCTTTTTTCACAAATTCATGATGTTTCTAATAATGCTTAAATTTTTGCCATTTTTGTGCTTAGGTTTGATTTCTTATTGAGTATTTACTATTTACTTACTGTCGTTTATCTAAATGCAGGGTTGTACCTCCATGCTGTCACTGAAACAAAGCTCGTAGTGGATACTTCTAGAGGCGAAAAACTACGTATCAATGTACTCATCAATTTATTTTCCCTGTGGAAATGTGATATTATCTCCTTGGTTTCTAATAGTTGCAGTGATATCTACTTTATTGATGACTTATGTCTATTCTTGGTTTGGGTATATTGTGCAGTTTTGGAAGTAGTAACTATGTAGGATATCATGTTTAATGTAGTGAGAGTCATTAATGGATTATAGGCACATCAGTTTCCTTAATGTTACAACCTTCTTGTGAATTTTACCTGTTGGAGAATGTTTTTATGCTTGAAGCAGTAACCTGCAATATTGATTTTGGTGTTTATTCTGTATACTTCATTCAATGGTTTATGATCCCTTTTCCTCTCTCATTTGGAAGTGCAGTTTGATGTCATTTTTCCTGCCATCCCGTGTTCATTACTCAGCCTTGATGCCATGGATATCAGTGGGGAGCAACATCTTGATATAGTATGATACACGAGAAACATTTTATTGCAAATTTATATATATCATCCACAGGCTATGTTATCATGCATGTGGAGTCTTGTTTGACCATTTTTCTCATTCCATTTGCTTTTGGTCCTGCCCAATTTACCTTCTTGTCATCATTGCCTTTTTCTTATTGGCCGTGTACCTATATTTTATCAAATTTGCAGAGACATGATATAACCAAGAAAAGGATTGATTCTCATGGTAATGTTATCGAAGTGAGGCAAGATGGAATTGGTGCCCCTAAGGTTAGTATGCACTTTCGTATTTTTGGTTTCTATGAGTCATTGCTTATGTACTTTGTTCAAGTTGATACCTTTTTTAAGAAAAATTCCTCCACTAGTTTTAGTAATGAGGAGATGATGATAAGTGTATCGGCCACCACTTGTCAATATGGTCCTTATTAGGAACACAAAACTACACATTTTTTATATAGTTGGATGAACAATAAATCACATACCAAAGTGCATTGTAGAGTTTTTTTTTTTCATAATGATGGATGCAGATGCTTGGATTCTCGTCAAATGTTGAACTTCTGCTTCTATCTCACCCCCTTTCCCCTTCCCCCCAAAATCTCCAGGTTTCCCTCCAAGTCCTTTTTCCATCAACTAATCACCATTTGTAGTTATTTATTCCTTCCACGTTTCAACTTGACATTTCCATAACCATTTCTTTAGAATTCCTTCATTCGACAATGTCAATATTTTAATGCCAGGCCAATGAATCTCCATTAGAGTAAAATTACATTTAAACAGTAAAAATGACACTTAAAAAACTCGGCGCCAGCATGGGCTGGAGGAAGTTTGTAGAAGTTTATCCCCATCTACTTGAAATTGAGCTTTGAATTCTAAAATGAGACATATAGTACTTCTATTAGAATTAATCTTCTTCCTTGGAAAGGTTTACCTTCTTCAGACAATTCAATCTTCTTCTTATCATGTCAATCAAACTGCTCATATTGCCTTGGCTTTAGAAGAAAATTTGCAAGCTATGATATGGATGGTGAAGGTAGATTCTCTCTTGTTCATCCAGAACTAATTTCCAAAGTCGCCACATTATCCAGGATCTCAATCGACTTTATTGTCACACACTAAAAAGCACGGACACGGACATGGGACACGGATACGACACGACACGGACACATCGACATAACATTTCTCAAAAAAGTAGGACACGGACACGTTGGGGACACGCTATAAAAAATTATATTTTATATATAACATTAATATAATTTATTGCAAATATAGTGATAATGATATACAATTTATAAAAAATTCAGTATTTTATGATAAATAAATCTTATGTCTAATCATCTATGTGAATTTTTAGACTAAAGCATTCTCTTGATAGTTAATAATCATCAATTTTTTTGTTGTAGATAATGTGTACTTAATATATAATTTAAAGAATTGTTCTCATTTTCTCAATTACTCTTTTTTAAAATTTTTATGCATCTTTTGTTTTTATTATTATCTTTGGAGTACAATTTTAATATGTTTAGTGTTGGTAATTATATGTTCTCAAATTTTTAAGTTTTGTTAACCACATTTCAACAAATGTTTATTGTTTAGTAGTAGACAAGTTCTAAAGAAGTGTCAGACACGTCACCAAAGAAGTGTCGGACGCGTGTCCAAAATGAAAAATTTTATCATTTAATTATGGNGTTTTGTTAACCACATTTCAACAAATGTTTATTGTTTAGTAGTAGACAAGTTCTAAAAAAGTGTCAGACACGTCACCAAAGAAGTGTCGGACGCGTGTCCAAAATGAAAAATTTTATCATTTAATTATGGACACGGATCAAAGAGTATCGGACACGTGTCCAAGAGTGTTCGAAGATTGTCGGTGTCCGACACGGATACATCATCTCCTCGAGAGTGTCCGTGCTTCATAGGTCACAAAACTTGGGTTTGGGCTGCTCTCGCCATGCTTAATGCATAACATGATTCTTGTTTTTGTTGGGTCATTCCAGACACAACAGTTGGTTCTCTGTACTTGAATTTGCAGCATAAGTGCATCTAAGCCTTTAACGAGCATGCTAGTTACCTGATTGTTATATCGACCTTCTGATGGCCTGGCCTCTTGTGTGGCATCTATTGTTTTCACACAAAACAACATTGATAGAGAGGTATCACCATTGGCACAAGCTAGATTGTTATGCCTGTCAAGTGACAGGGGACTGTCGACACTAGACTGTTATTCATGTTCATGTTTCAATCAGGAATTTAATTTTTACAGCCTTTTTTATGATGTTTGACTACTATAAATGGGATAGATGTGTTGAAACATTCGGAAAAGCTGGTTGTGAAGATCTGGTTTTCAATAGATTTTGTCACTATTGGGAGGCACTAGGATCATTGTTCTGCTGTGGTTTATATATATATTAGTCGTGCCCCGTGCAAAGCATGCTTTTTTTTTAATGTATGGGTTGAGTTACTTTGGTTAAAAATTAGTTAAAAAGTTAAAAGGTAAAATTTAAATGAGTTATTGTAGTTAAAAAGTTAAAAGGTAAAATTTAAATGAGTTGTGGTTAGAAGGTTAAAAGTTAAAATTTAAATGACTTACTGTGGTTAAAATGTTAAAATGTTAAATCGTAATATAAACAGTTGGATTTAAACGATCTGAGCTGTTGATGTGCTTTTTCTAAGTGAGGAGCATAAGCAGTTCAAGTAATGCGTGTCATTTGATTTCCATCTTCCCTCTGCCTATATGTTCACTTATGGCCTTTCTCTCTTTTTTTACCTTTTTGGTGTGAATTTTCAATACAGATTGACAAGCCTTTGCAGAGACATGGTGGCAGGCTTGAGCACAATGAAACATACTGTGGTTCGTGCTTTGGTGCCGAAATGGTAATTTTTTCTCCTAAAACCCCTTCCCTACTCTCTTTTCCCCTCTCTGAGCACCGGTCTGTCAAACTGGTTTACTGGACAATGTCTGCTTGCATCTTTTGCATCTTAACAAAAGTTACATAATCTCTGTCAAGATGGTTTACATTACAAGCTGTATGATGCTTTGTTTTTTTCTGCTTGTGGTTGAAGGTTGTCGTCATTCTTCCTCCCTTTGTTTAGCTGTCATTTACTAGCCCTCCTTCTGGCTTGTTGGCTTTCCTAGTAGGTTAAGTGCCAAAGGTCTAGAATTTGAGGATGGTTATTAGAGAAACAAGTGTCTTTATTAATTAGAATACTGGATGATCTATTGCACAAAATTCATTGAGCTGCATTGGCATTCCTAAAGCATTTGAATAATACTGGTGTATTATGGGAAAATGAATAATGAACCTAGGGTATATATACGGCAAAGCATGTGTCCAAGCCTAGAAGAACTCCTAGTTTGAGGCTAGTTCTATTTTGCTACTACTATGTTGAGAGATGAGGAGATCTGAACCCTGTCATTTGGTAGAAAATCACCCGCTAGTTATCACCAATAATGTAAAAATCATCTGTTAGATCGAGGGTAATTTACATAATACATTGGACAAATCAAGATTCAGTCAAAACAAACAAACCATTAACGGGGGCAGCTTGGTGCACAATGCCTCTGTCACTGCAGGATCTAGAGAGGGTAAGAAGAACTTTAATTTGAACCGACGCCCAGGTCACAATAGAATAGTCTGACTGCTGCGTCATAGCCTGCCCCTCTTAGAAGTTATAACAAATAAAACATTGTGGAGGGAAATGAATTGTCTGATTGCACACATTTTTTGTTTCTTGAAATGGGGCTTGTTGAGAAGTGGTTGAAGAAGTGTACTTACTACCACATTAGATTCCAAACAAAGGGTGTATAACTTTTAGGTGCATCATCTGAAAAAGTTAGTAAAGTGTTCATCTTATCATTCTAATTTTTCGCATTAATACTAATCAAATCAACAGACGTGTGTTCCGTGACTAGGCACTTGCATTGGACTATGTGCTGGGGGGAGTTGGAAGGATCTTTCTTTGTTATCGTTTTGCTCTTAAATGGTTCTTAACAGAAATGTTTGAGCATACCCCTAAATTTATGGATACAACTCCTGGTAAGAATGTTCCTTTTTGAATTGTTTCTCGATTTCTTTGTCTTCTTTTGCAGTCAGATGAGGATTGTTGTAATACATGTGAAGAAGTTCGTGAAGCTTATCGAAGGAAAGGCTGGGGTATGACAAATCCTGATTTGATTGACCAGGTTGGCCAAAATACAGTATCTTATTTTCAGTTCGTCATTTTTGTGGAACTAGAGGTATTCAATTCCTGGGAGAAACCTAATACCATAGGCAATGGGTGAAGGGTCCCTCACCCTTATATGAAACCTTGGATGGTCTTATTTAACTAATTTGGTGCAACTGTGCCAGTCTCTGTGCACCCCTCCTCATGTGCAGCCTGGAATTGCACACGACCAAAAACAGAGAGAGTGTACCAAAAACAAAATGACAAACAGATGCAAAGTGGGAACAATTCCAAATTGGTGAGACTTGACCATGACTAGGAAAGGCAACATCCCATCCAAAACCAATTGGTAATGGGTGAAGGGCCATTTAACTTTATATCCAGCCTTGTAACAGGCGTTACAGGCCCATGACCATGCAAGACTTGATCAATGACATATGATCTAGGGTCAGATAATCCCTTAAAAAAGGCTAGTGCTCTGTTTTGGTTCGGCCAATGTGGGTTTTAGGATTGGTGGATTCAATGAGAACCTGATCTCTGGTAGAATATAGATGAAGTACCTGCCCAATGATTATTTTCTGCTGTAAAGTAGTCAACTATGCACTATCCTATGTTCATTTGAAGAACCTGATTGACTGTTGTTCACCAACAACAGTAGCAGCTATTTTTTCATTCACATTGTGCTGTTTTTCTTTTCTGAATCCATACTTTTCGGTTTTAAAATAATCCACTTTCCGCATTAGTGGCACTGCTTTCTGTTTGCGCATGCCTTGCAAGTTCTCCTTGTCACACTTCTTCACTGATGCGACTGATTTAATTTCTGGTGGTGGTGAAATTCGAAAAGTAACTTGGCTTAGATGTTCTGGATATTTTGCAGTAGTATTGGATAGAACTTGACCCAATCAATCTTATTTCAATAAAGGAAACATTTGATGGTATTTTTCTTTTTTGGGGGAGGTAGGGTAGTGAGACTGAAATATGTAGCGTCACTTTTTCTATTTTTCCTCTTTATTTCCACATTTTCTTGGTGCTATTGTGTCTATTTATTGTTGAGGACATTAGTGGTTTTTCTTACCAGTCTTCTTTTCTAAGACCACGTTGAGCATACTACATATGAAAAAACTTGGTAAACATGAAGGAAATCACCAAAGTTGTGTGCGTCTGATAAGTGGGTACACCATGACTTGATGTCAAGGAGAATTGGTGATATTGCTTCGTCTTTGGACAGAAGAGTGCTGGAGCACGGATTGGGAACAGCATAGGTAGCTTAGTTCCAAGCCTTGCTTTATGTGACAGTTGTGGCCATGACCTAAAGGAGCCTTAAGCACTTGTACAATGCTTGTCAATTCTCCCTCCCACTTGTTGCCTAGAGCCTTGACTTTCTATGTTCTTAGTCAAATGGGCCTTACAACTAGCACTTTTTTCTTTAAAATAAGCTCACTTCGCTTTCAAGCTCCAGCCCTCATCGAAAACTAATGTGCCTTTACTTTTTAAAATAATATGGCACTTTTTCCTATTTATCTCTCAAAGTCGAGTAAGAGACTTTCGCCTTTATTGAGGGGAATGGGATATAAAAGCTTACCTGTGCAATGAGATGGTCCATGGTCCTGATTGCATCCAGAGCTACATCTTCCACAGTGGTACTTTTGTAGGAATCAAACTCTACATACTGCAGTTTATGATTAGAGTGAAAGCCGATCCCAGAATATTGGAATTGAACACCCACGCACCCCTGTGCTTTTTCTATTTTTCCAAACATGTTCTGAGCTATGTTCATGCATTTATGGAGATTATTAACTTAAGTAATGCTTTGTCCTTTTTATTTTCCCATATGAAAATGACTGTCAAACACAGTGCAAAAGAGAAGGTTTCGTCCAAAAGATTAAAGACGAAGAAGGTGAAGGATGCAATATCTATGGATCTCTGGAAGTCAATAAAGTGGCCGGGAATTTTCATTTTGTCCCTGGGAAGAGCTTTTTTCAGTCCAATGTCCATGTGCATGATTTACTGGCTTTGCAAATGGATAGTTATAATGTAAGATTCCATATATTCTATTGATACATTCTTTTTTGGCCTTTTTATGTTCCTTATAATTCTTTTTTTTGAAGCTATTACACTTTTAAGTTCATGACACATTGCACAGATAAGTCACAGGATCAACAGATTAGCTTTTGGAGAATACTTTCCTGGAATTGTAAATCCGCTTGATGGGTAATTCTTCTTTCATACTATCCGAGTTATGGTCTATGTCAGAATGTAATGTGTTGGCATTAAACTTGGTAGCACCTTTCAAATTCCTGTAAACTGTAAAAATTTGACCTTTAAGCGAAATCTGAATTTCTTTACATTTTTGCCGTTTTGATCCTCTATCCCACAGAACAAAAACACAGACATGAAAGAAAGAAAAAAATTGCAAGGAAAGTGAAGAAGTTACTTTTGTCTTTTCTAAGCTTCCTTTTGCCCTTTCAACTGTCATTCAGGGTGCAATGGGTGCAAGGAACACCAAGTGGAGCTTATCAGTATTTTATAAAGGTTAGTATTCTCCGGGCAGGGACTCATTGATTTCTTTTTGTTACCTCTTTATCTCTAATTTGCAACTCAACCATTTAAAGTCTGTATATCTTGTGAGGAACTACAGAAATACGAAGATGGGCTTACATTGTAAAGATAAGTAATGTCGGGGAAGGTTATAATGCTTTCTTATATGGCCCCAGTGTACCACCCAAATATATCAATAATGCTTTTGGCAGGCAGTTACTTCTATGTCTTTATTAATTTTTTTTGTGTTGATCTTGTCTTATTTATAGCAAGGTGCTGATGCTAAAACTGATACGAGTCGAGTTGCATGTATTTTGTCATATTTATGACAAGATACCTATGCTAAAAAGGGTAGGAGGCAATGCACACTGTATGTGCAAAAAAGTAGAAGGGAAGATACCAACACTGAAAAGTGTTAGGTGAGACAAAACAAGCTTAGAATTATTGTTGCCTTCCAATCTCAATCACCGTGAATGTAAGTTCAAGTAAAAATATGAAAATTCCGAAGTTTATCAAAAAGTTTGCAGTTGCACTCCTTTTGAACACACCACAAGAGACAAAAAAGAGTTGTCTTCCACACCTGAGCACTGTAGTGTTTGGATTAAGCCATAGCTTCTGCAATATCTTGAACTCATAATTGCAACATGGAAACAAAAAATTAGCAACACGTCAAAGTAGAAGTTAGATGATACACTGCAATAAATGAGATCGATGGTTCTAGTTCATGATCTAGAGCTTCTAGTAACAAATACTTCACTACAGATTATGTCCCATAACCTCCATCCATTAAAGGTCAGCCTTGACGAAATGCCTGATGTTGCGGTATCTTGGGTAACTTTTGAAATTTCTTGAGAATTTCACCTTGTCATGCACATCAAATATCCACCTTCCCAGCTCAAAGAAGTGATAAATTTCCAACTTTTATGGTCAAGGATCAACATATCATGTACGTGGGAAGTAAGACAATATGGTGGTGTAAATATCTCTGGCTTTATGTGGCACGAATAGGGCGAGATAAATTTTTTGGAGTCTAATTGTTGTTATTTGCTCTCTTTGTTTTTTCTTGTTAGAAAGCTTGCCAAGTGACACATGCTTTGTTTTGAGAATATTAGTATTTTGAAGTGAGGATGTTTAATCAACTTTCTGTTTACTTTACAGGTGGTCCCTACGATTTACAAAGATATAAGAGGGCACACTATTCAGTCAAATCAGGTATCGCTGAAAATTTTGAAGATAAAATTCTCCCATTGATTTTGGTTTCTGTAAACCATCTCTTAAGATGTTATGCATTGTATCATACAGTTCTCTGTGACAGAACATTTTAAGGGTTCAGCAATGGGTCACGTGCAGTCACTTCCTGGAGTTTTCTTCTATTATGACCTTTCTCCTATTAAGGTGGGTTCTTTTTCTGATGCACAGAAGGTAGTTCAATATTAGGAGATGAATCAACTGTGAGTACTGTTATTAAATTTTTTTTTTCCCGATAAGAGAGAACTTTCATTAATAAAGTTCTTCTGTATTAATTTTTCTTGGGTTGCAACTGTATTTTTTAAAAGGACTTAATTATCAGAAATGAAATCTAGTATATCCTGGGAATCTCATTGGAATAATAACTAATCATGTGGAGAACACATCCTGATGCCAAATTAATACACTCGTATAAAACATTAACAAAAACTTGGCTGGTCTACACTCGGCAAAGTAAATCAGAGTAAACACTTGGAAATTCAGGCGTAGAGATTAATCAAGATATCAGATACCTTATTTTAAACTATTTTTGCTTATTGTAGGTTACCTTCAAGGAGGAGCATGTATCATTCTTACACTTCTTGACAAATATTTGTGCAATAGTTGGAGGTAATATGTGTACCCATTTTTTGTTGATTTAGCAGATAATCTTATCTTTTCTTGAGTTCCGGTACTTGCATAAGTGCATCTTAGTGCCCTAGTTTCTAGTTCCATCATTTCAAAAACGACAAAGAACTCCTATTGCTGATGAATCTCTTGGGTTAAAGGCATATTGGTAAGTGAAATAAGTCAAGAAAATAATAGGACAGACGACGTAAGAAATACATCCATCTTCCATCATCTTACAAATACTTCCCCACATTCACAGTAACTGCCAGATCTGATCAGTGTCCTATCATCCTTAGCAGTGCTTGAGAATTGTAAAATTGTCATGCCTACCAAATTACGGTGTATTGAAGCCTTTGGGTGATTTTATCAGAAACATAACAGTAACATGGTAAAGTTTGTCAGCCTAAAAAAGGAAGTAGAGTTATTGAGAACATATCAGCCATAATGCCATGACATACCACCCCGACTTTCCTGGCTCTTTGACGTGTGTCCTTAATGTGACACAAAAGTTCTGGGTCTTCATTTCTTTTATACCCAAATGTTGGAGGGACCAACCAAAAAAACACAGCTGAAGTAGTTTTTGTAGAAATCCTGAGAAGATAAATGCGTAGGTGCCAGAATGATCGACTTTTTACACTCCCAAATGCTACCTGAGGTTCTGACGGCGTTTAAAAGATAAGGTTTCGGTAACAGTGGGTAATATCATTTGGGTACGTATGACCCATGGGTCGCCATATTGGATTAAGTCGAAAGCTGTGAAATGGCCTTTTAGACGTGGGGGTCTAAATCGGAGCTAGACTTATTGGAGATTTCGTTTTTATGTTCGCCTTGCAAAATTGTCACTCTTTCATTTCATATTTTAATACTCTGATATCTGCTCCTGGATTTGGGTTCAAGATTTATGAAGTAAAAGAGATTCAACCCAGCATATCGGATAAATGTAATTTCCTTCTTTTTGGCTCAGGTATCTTCACAGTTGCCGGAATAGTAGATTCATTTATTTATCATGGTCAGAGGGCTTTGAAGAAGAAAATTGAAATCGGAAAATTCAGCTAATGGTTCGGAAAATTGGAAGACGGTCGACTTTCGGCGAACTGTTAGATACGGGGCAATACCGTTTGTTTCTCTTCTCAAGGTGCTATCTTTTTTCTTCACATCCGTTACATAAACGATTTTGATTATTTAAGCAAATTTCAGTATGGTTGGTAGTGTTCCATCCTCCATCTCCCACCCGTCTTTCTTTCTTGGTGGCTTTAATCGTTCCAACCACTTGCTCTTTGGCTTGAACATAAATTTTCGATGGTAGTTTGACAGTTTGTCGCTTCAACCTAATTTGTATTTAATTTACTACCATGGTTGGATTTTTCATTTTATTATTGACTTAGACACTTGTCAAAGCTAGATGTGGTCCTCGATGTTGTGAAGGTCGGTCTTTAGACTGTTACTACACTCACGTCTTGTTAATGTTTGAGTTAGGCCTGTCAATGATTTGGATTCAGATTTGGATATGACAGAATCCGATCTATATCCAATCCTTTGATAGGTCTAGTTTGAGCCATAGTATTGCTGAAGTTGTGGCATTGTTAAATTGAGGACTTCTAGAATCGGGTAAGACCACGGTACCAAAATTACTGCATTATATTATAGAGAATTATTATTTTTTTTTTGGATGACAGAAATGTTAACAAGGTAACAATTACTTGGCGCAAAGAGTGGTAAGGAAACTTTCAGAAGTTATGCAACAATCCCATCAAGTTTGGCAGCTGTTATATCCTTCAAAACATGAGTTTTTAAATTTTTTAAAAAAAATGTTACAAAATCTTTCAATTTTTAACAAAAAAGAAAATACAAGCATTTGAAATTTTTGAGAAAGTTAAATCGTTCGCATGTGAAGTGATAGAATAGACGTTGAATCACCGATTTTCTTCTTGTTCTAATTCATATTGTCAATAATATGACATTATAATGGTACATGACAGTGTCACGTTTTCATTAATATTTTAATCACCGATAAAAAATTATGAAATTACATTCATTGATTCATATGCAATCTAAAGAGTATGCATCGCAAATGTGACATTCATACATATTGTTTTTAATGAATGATAGTGTTACATCACAGTGTACCATTGTAAAGTGATATTATTGTTAGATTCGAGAGCAACACCAGCGCCGTTCAACATTAAAAAGTAATATAAAAATATAAATTTTGATAGGGAGTTATATTATAAGCAAAAATATGAACCCAAACTTGATGTTGTTATTCGATGTCTAATATCAAAAATTTGTTGGAGATGTTCCTGAACAATGCTTATAACATATATTAATTCAATTTATTGAATGAAAAATATGAAAATCAAACAGTGATTCAATATGATGATATTTTCGTTTAATGAAAAATTCGTTTATGGTTTAAACGTTGAAAAGGAAGAAGGTGTAGTTTAGAATATCAAATGATGAATAATGAAGAAGATGGAGTTTAAAATTTAAATTCAATGTCCCATTAAAATAAAAAAACTCTTAATATAATAAACCAACTCCCATAAAAAAATTGGATTGTTAATCTAAACAGCCCAATAAATATGAAAAATGGTATTTTAATAAAAACAAATTTAAAAATCTGTCAATGTATATCTAAATATAATATATTTTAAATCGAGAGTACTTATTTATAAAAAAAATTTAGTTAATGTATTTTTTGACAATTAAATAATTTAAAATATGCGTTCTAACAATTTTTCGGACTAGTTATGGTATCTAAAAATTTGTTGTGGGAATGGAATCTATATCCCAAGCTTTTTCAGCCCCGTTGTTGGGCCAACCCTGTTTGAAAGGATGTGTTTTTTACCGGTTAGATTTTGAATCGAACGATTATATACCTTCTAGCGGTAATGCCATCAGCAGTTACGCTTCTTACAAACTAATAGGTTTTTGGTTCAATAATATTTTTTATCTTATAAAGATTTTGTCTCTGTGAGATCAAGGATTCAAGTTTCTTTCTCCTAAAAAAAAAAGAAAAAAAAAAGTTGCGGCTCTTTCAAAACTTACATGGCAAAAACACTGTTGATCATTATAGGTTGCCCGAGTTTGTTAATCTTAGACTAATAGAAACTCGCTCAACACCTTCATTCTTTGACATCGAGTCTCACCAAATTCAACCAAGTCGTTTGAGATCTATATGATCAAACTCGAGTTTTCAAGTTATTGTCACCAAAATAATACCGTTATGTGATGTTGTCATAAAGCCTAAACTTTTCATCATATTTGATGATGTCCTTAACATGGCTAAGCAATGGTATGAGCGTAAGGAGCACTGAATAGTTACATGTGGCTTAGTCTGAGCTCCAAGGCTTAGGGGAATAGGATTTTGGAGATACTGATCACACAAAGTGTTTATAGTGGTTCACCAGCTCGGAAGTTTGATTAATTCATTCTTAAAAGAGTCTCTTGCTCCTGAATATATATTGATCGCTATAGAGTTTATAGAGAGTATATTATTGATGCTACAATGGTTTCTTTTTTCACTCTCGAGGACTTTGTCTCCTATTTATCGTTATTCCTGGGTTTTTCTTAATCTGGTCTAGATCCTTGCCCTTCTCTTGTAATGGTTGCCCCTTTTTGTGCAACGAGATTTGCGCCTGTGGAGTGATTGATGCTAGAAAAGGGGTACTTGGTGGGATCTAGTTGTCTATTGCACAGACTTCCTCGAGATTTGGACATGGAGAGTTGAGGTCTACAATCGAGGTCTACAAATAATATTGATGAGTTGAACTCTTAAGCTAGATAATATGACCTAGATTATCGAGCTTATCCTTAGATATTATGTGGTACCATCAATTGCTAACATCTTTTATTAGCATTCTGGGTGGACTATTCGATACTATTCTATTATGTGATGACGCTCTAAGTTAATAATTGATGTCATGATGTTGAGTCTTGTTCTCTCTCTCCAGAGAAAATATTGAATTTAAGAGTATCTCTAATCTTTATTTCAACTTTTACTCAAATTTAAATTTGAGTAGAAATGAGTTAAAAATAATCTCTCGTCTTTTCCTCAAATTCATACCAAATAAAGGGAAACTGAAATTTTGAATGGTCAGATTTTATCCTCTTATAAAAATTCAATGGATATAAACTATCATACTTTAAATTTGAGTTTGTCATCGAGTGTTTTATATAAAATCAAAGTTTTACTTAAATTTGAGTAATATTTAAGTTAAAGTTAGAGATAACCTAATAGTGACAACCATATCATCATTGTTACCAGATTTCATTGTTTAATAATAAACTAATGTGTAAGTAAGTGGACCCTACTTAATGTTGTAACTATGGTGTCATGGAAGAAAAATAACTATTTCATGTAAAGAAGTGAGATTCATCTTATCCACTTATTATTATTTTTTTTTGTTTAATTATTGGGGGTGTGCAAATCAGTTTATGTGTACCTCGATTAATTCCATCTTTAGTCCGGTCAAAGGCAAACTATCCTACTAAAGTATTAGTGAAAGATAAATTTCTTATGGTCTAATTGGATTACTAAGATTCAAACTAAGATGTCTGTATTTACAACTCAATTTTATTACCATTTGAATTACTTATGGAAATTTACTTTGTCTACTTATAAACTTATTAGTTATTGTCTGTGCCTGAAGACACATAGTAATAAAAAAATGATAATTAATAAATATATTTGTATTTATATATAAAATTAAATCACAAACATAGAGCAGAGATAAAATAATTTAAATATTGATTGTAATGGGGGTGAGAGGTGGTGGGCGGTAGTAGTGGTGGTAGGAGATGGTGATCATTGTGGTGGGTGGCAATGACCGTGGTTGTGGCAGCGGTGGCGGTGGTGGTAAGGGTGGGGTGGTGATGGGATGGGCGACGACGATGGTAGCAACAACGATGGTAGTGGTGGTGACGACAGTGGTGGAGGGGGTGGTGGTGGTGGTGGTGGTGGTGGTGGCGATGGTGGTGGTGGTAGTAGCGGCGACGATGGTGGCAGCAATAGTGGTGGCGATGAGACTGTTTCAAATACCATTTTTTTTTAAAATTATTTGTGAGAAATAATTTCTAAAAATACTTTTAAATAGTCAGTCAAAATACAATCTTATGAGCCTATTTTTTCTATTAAATTTAGAGTATTAATATTAACCGTTAGATTAATTTTAAAGTAAAATTTAAAACGATATCAAACGTGAATAGCAAAAGTCATATTATTTATCTTTTAAAATTTAAATTGTAAGTTACTTTATTATATAGATTATTAAACAATAATATCAAATACGAATAACATAATTTTACGCATTTCAACTACCTTCAAAAAGGCCATTGCTCTTTTATCGGGGAGTTCGGTGTTGAGTTAGAATTTCACACTTTAAGCCAGAGGCCATGCGATAATGATAATCACGTCAGAGCGTCGGAGAGCTGGTCTATCTCGCGTCGAATAACTTTGAGTGTATGTGTGTGTGTTAATATACCTCTGCCTTCCCCTGACAGAGTCAATGATTAGGTTAGAGTAAATTCAAAAAAAAAAAAAACAATCCCAATTTTAGATAGAAGACAAGAGGCGAAGCCCGGTGCTCCGCCTCCGCGGCGTCAAGCCATGTTACAAAAAACCTTGCTGTCAAATTCAAACTAGTACAACCGTACAAACTCACTCTGTCCCACTTCCTAATGACATTAACCAAAGTCTATATCTAAAAAATGATAAATAATAAGATACACTTTTTTTTTTTTTAATAATTTTTGGATATAATACTAAAAAATAAATTTAATACCGTGCTTTTTTCCAAGTCTCTTCGTAACATTTGGGAAACACTACAATACCAATAAGATAAAAAATTTTGTACTATATGAAAAGTTAGAAAAAATCCAAAAAAAATAATAAATTTCATCTTAAAAAGCGATAAATTCTTCATAAATAGTGATAAATAATATATATATATATATATATATATATATATATTTTTGGGTATCATAGGCAAACCCATAACTTGATCGACTGAACTTCCTGGTTCAAGATAATAATTGGCTATCACAACTAGTCAAACCCGCCTTGTGTTACTGAAAAAAAAAGAAAACTTGATAGTTTTTGACTTTTACTTAAAAAACTTATGAGACGAAAAGAATAATCAAAAGTCAGAGCAGAAAAATCACTTAATACTGTTTAACGGAAGACTCTGACGGATCATGAATTCTCGGTATTGATTATAATTTTTTATGATTAATAATATCCTTTAAAGCTGTAATTTAAATCACAAAAAATTATAATTTAATCTTAAAAAATTTTAATATTTAATACGATATCGGTGACAATACTATAACCTCTTCGAAGTTAATATATTAAAGACTAATAATATTAGACTGACCCAAAAAAAAAGAAGTTATTGAACNTATGAAATTACATTCATTGATTCATATGCAATCTAAAGAGTATGCATCGCAAATGTGGCATTCATACATATTGTTTTTAATGAATGATAGTGTTACATCACATTGTAAAGTGATATTATTGTTAGATTTGAGAGCATNTATGAAATTACATTCATTGATTCATATGCAATCTAAAGAGTATGCATCGCAAATGTGACATTCATACATATTGTTTTTAATGAATGATAGTGTTACATCACAGTGTACCATTGTAAAGTGATATTATTGTTAGATTCGAGAGCAACACCAGCGCCGTTCAACATTAAAAAGTAATATAAAAATATAAATTTTGATAGGGAG